TGCGGGAAACAACCTGTACGGCGTAAGTGCACCCCTTGCTCGTGACCGAGATTCGGTTTGGACTGTGCTAATGGTTTGTGAAGCGTGCTTCTTGTGTAGGGTCCAGCAAGCACTCATTTCAGGATTCAACTAACTTCAATGTGGCAGTGTTGAACATGCATCAGGTTCTGTGGATAGGATCGTCAGGATCGCGTCTGCAATTGCCTTCGAGGTTATGATTAACGTAACGGGCAGCTGGATGCAGTTTTGGGAGAGCTTAGAACTAGGCTAAACCTCTCCACAGGTCTTGCGCCCGGTCATCAAGCCTAACAACAGCCTTAGCATCCGAGGCTTCAAATGTGAATGGATGTTCCGAATTCAGTTTTCATGACGGTCATGATGCTTAACTCCGATATGCAGTTCCCGTTCAGGCTAGCAATTGAATCTGCTTTAGGTTGGAATATGTGGCAATATTTGCATGAGCCTCTAGCGAACGCTGCGTTGCTTTGAGGAAAGGAAATGATTAAAATATACGTCTTTTAAACGTCCCCGTTGAAATCGATTTTTCCTGCACACTCTCTTTCCCTGAAAAGTACCCTAACATCGAGAAGAGGTAATTTGAGTTCGGGCTTCTCGCGCCACGTTTCCCCGGGTTATGGTGCCGCATGTTGATGCGAGAGTCTCCAGCAAAGGTTCTGTTCAACTTGCTGGGCAATGCTTCGTTGCTACACACTGAATGTGTCTGGGGATTTCAGAATTTCGCAGTTACCTATTAGAAGGCCACGGCAAGTGTGGTCCAGTTTCTCTACTAGAATAACAAAGTGTCAAGTGCTAGATCACGTATGATCAGCCATAGTTGTGTTTCGACAGCAGGAAGCTACCCCTGACCCCTCATTCCCAAACTCTACAGCCCCTCACGTGCGCCCACTTCCATTGCCGCAATCTTAAAAGCGACCCACATAAGCATGACATAATTCCTTATCGGTGTTATCAGCGCGTTCGCGTTTCATCACATCGAACATCCCAACGACAACTCACTCACTGAATTCAATCCACCAAGCCATTCAGCCACTCACACTCTTCACATCCCCTCCTCAAGCATATCAGACCACAGCAAGTATGGCAAAGACGCCCACAAAGACCGCCGAACCTAGCCGTTTGACGCAGAGCAGGGTGGCCAACATGACGGCTGGCCGAGCGAAGAAACAGGCCAAGAAGGAGAAGCTCAAGGCGGCCCTGCAGGCGCGTGCCGCCCACGCACGCGCCGCGAGGAAGGCGATTCGTGAGAGTGCGTTCTACCTATACCCACCACCTGCTCCTTCCCTCTTCCTCGCTTGCTCGCCGGTAGCTTGCTTGCTGACTGTGTGACAGAAGCCAATTGATTTCGATAAGCATTCTGGGTTGACGCTCCAGGTAACGGGGCTTTGGTCGAGTGGGGAATGCCGGTCCGTGTGTGACGCGTGAAGGTCGATGGAAGGAGAGACATGACAAGGGATACGGGACGTGACCGTCCAAGATGCGTTTTTTCGGATGATTTTAGACACCTCAAGTCAATAACGAGTGAAACATTCACGGATCAACATCATACGCGTGATTGAAGACCCGGTCCGCCAGGCGCCAGGGGACCAGTGGCTACCCGACTGCCTGCAAATACAGCCGTTGTCTTCTTGAACCCTCTCCTCGGCCCCATCACGCATCAGGACAACCCCAGTTAGTTTCCTTTTTCGAGGCGCCAACCCCACCAAACGGGTATTCTGAGGCCCAGAGACCTGCTTCTTTTGGAAGATGTTTGTGGTTTCATTGGTAGCTGGTGATCGGAGATTAATATCGTCCGTGTCTCACCATGCTCACTGCGCATCTGCACAAAGGATTTCAATGCACATGCATCTACATTTTGTGCGTCGTGAGTGTGTTTCCATGATTCCGATCGGTAGAAATGGTTTTTCACAACCACTAGCCGCCACGCTAAGACCACGGCATGATTGACCGATCCTTATTCCCAGGCATACTCCAAGACAGCGCATCCGATAATACCCGAAAATAATCAAAAGTCAGAGTAATAGAAAGCTTCCTTGCTACCCCATATTGCAGTCGACGCGGCACCGTCTACAGTCAGTTCTGTGCCAGACTGCTTCAATAGATGCATGGCCTCAGAGCGTTTTCTTCGCAACTTAAACAATACCAGAGTAACAAAGTATTGGGCCACGCATTGTAAAAAACACAAACTTTCTCGAATTGGGGAGAAGAAGAGAAACATAATTCTTGATAAATCAAGATTGGATATGGTAGAACTCCGGTTGTAACGCTTGCCAGTCAAGGTTGACCAGGCAGGATATAATTCCATGGACTTCGGCTTGAAGTTGGCGGGAGGATTGAGCCCCCGTGATCTTTGCCCAAAATTCCAGAGACTTCTGCAATTCGCGCTGGACACCGCTCTGCTGTTCAAATAGCTGTGCAAGGCCATTGGAGACCTGGATGGACTTCACATTGCCATTTCTCTGAGACGAGGGATGCCAAACGGCGATGGATCTTTGATGTAGGTGTTTGTAAAACTGATGGGGTGTTTCAAATGATTATGGGAGTTCTCTATCCGCCCCGTAGTTTTTGTTTAGAGTGCAAGTCTCTGTTCGGCTTGTTTGTTCAACACTCGCTGCTTGAAAGTGTCAAGAGTGTGATGACAACTGCCCACGACCGTTCCAAACCCGTTCATTAGTTCTTTCCTGGCATTTGACACCGTGGTTCGGCATGTAGAAATTGTAGCGTGTGCTGCTTAAAAGAGCCCGGCAACTTTCGAGCCCGCGTGCAACGAAGGAAAACTGATGTTTCACGCGTCGTCCGAAATTTTGCGCCGCCATGTAAGCAAATGTTCGTATATTGTCATTTCTAAACACTGGAAAGCCTTGAAATAAGATGGCTCGCAGATAAATCAGGATCTCTAAACCTCTTGCCGAAAATAACGCGGTCTTCGGAGCGATCGTCGACTCCGAGCCTGCAAATTCCGTGGAACCCGTGGATAATTACGGGCTCTTCTCAAAGGCTCGGCGTAGGCTCTAACATGATATTAGTTGTATTAATTGCGACATGTGTCACGGATGTCCGTTTACCCTATCGATATTCTCAGCTCTATAGAAAACGCTCACGCGTTGTGGAAAACGGCGCGAGTCCAATTATGAAGGTGTCAACTTGATTTGTGACCTAAGGTATATCACAAAACACGCGCACCTGACTTATTAGGCTATGGCTCATTTATAGTGACCCAAGAGCATGGTTAAGTGCTTTCAAATATTCGCTTTCGCATTTCTTGATGCGCTCTGGTTAGGATTTTCGTAGGAGACCCGACTGTCCGGTGAAAAAGCCCCTTTTACCGAAGGCTCCACGGATTCCGCGCATGCGTTGAGGTGGTCAACTCCGGCAACGTCAAATTCTCGGGGTTTCGGGGGACGCATTCCCCAGTCCCCGCGGAAGCTGGAATTCGATGTCGATGATGTTGTACAATTCATGACTTTTTCATTGGCGGGGAAATGCTTGTTTGCACAATCCGCGTCAACAATCAGAAGTCTATAAATACGCTGCCTCAGTTGCGACATGAGCGTTCGTCCCAATCAACTTCTCATTCCTTTCAACTAGCTTACAACCTCTTATATCACACTTAGAGAAACTCAAAATGAATCCCAAGACCTTTCTTGCCATCATTTTCGCCTCCACGGCGCTCGCAGTACCCGGCCAGAACCAGGCCGATGTCCAGCCCCGAGAGGCACTTCCTCAGAGAGGTGGTGGCGGAGCGCCGTCTCCAAACTGTTGCGGAATCATTCCCCGCCCCGCCGGTTGTCAATGTTAAATTGTGAGTGACGATATTCAACAACCTAGATCCCGAAAGGCGGATGGCTCTGCCTCAATCCGAATCCTAATGCTCACCTTGCCTCTTGATTAGGAGCAATGTGGCTTATTGTTGCTATCATACGTCAGAGAGTGCGGCACCTGTCGGCGTCTAGCTGTTACGTTGCTGGATGCTTGCCAGGTTACGAATATTGGAGCAACGGTTGAAAAGATTTGGGCGGAGGGTTTTTCAAAACATCATAGGGAGGCCATGAGAGACGTCCAAATTGACTCTCGATGTTTCTCCCGTAATCGGTCTGATCTCTGGTGATACAACAGCCCTAAAGCCATCACGCAAATCCTTTTTTCTTCTGTTACTCAGTGAGGCCGACATTAACGCGGTACAAGTCCCCTACCGAATGATCACTACATGAGCGTGACTGCAAACCACTGGTTGACCCATGAATAATATTGCGGATGTTTGGCCTTGTGACTCTTGCTCTTCATTGATTTGGACCTGAAGTAGACATGCGCGCGATCAACAACTTTGACAGGCAGCTGAAACTACCGCAGATGATGCCCAGGGACAACCTCGCGAATTCAGGCGGTTTTTGGTATGCATATGCATCGACCCAAGAAAGCGCCAATTCTCATGCACTCAAAGTAAACTTCAACATCTGTACGACAATCGAGGAAGGACTTGCGTTGCTGTGTATTTATCAACCCGGCGCTGAATCATTATGACACTATCGACATATGCTATGCAAGAAAATCTTTACTGATTATACCGAATTTTCAATCCATTTCACACGAAAGTGGTGTCACCCCGACTATGATGCCTAAATCAACGTCGTTGGTACGTCTAGGGATTTGACTTCGACACTAAAGGTTCAGCCCCGAACGCCAAACCAAGTCGGTCACACTAGCGCGTGTGCAGACTGCGTGAAAATATACAAAAGAACGGGGTGTCTCAGACTTTTTAACATATATTTGCTAGGTACAGGAAGAGCACAAGGCATCTAGGGTCTGCCAAGCTCCGTAAATGCCCCACCTTGCTGCCTATCATGAACTTGTAACACCATGGGACTTCAGCGAAAATATGAGCGGCGAGTGTGTGTTTAATCTGTCTTCAGCCTCCAACAAACAACACAAGTCATAGCTTAGTTCATCATCTTTTTCCATAGTACGGCGCTTATTGCACTACCATGTCCCACGAACTCGTTCTACGATCCAACACCCTTGATTCCGACCAAGGAAGCAATCCTTTGGAAACCAAGGCGAAGGAAAATGAGCTAGTAAGTTATCAATAAGGTCGCTATCTCTCCCAAACTCTGACCTTGAGAAAGGACTGTATCGTACGCAAGCCCGGCTTTGGTATGCCTCTCGGCCACATGCCCGACGCCGAAAACCGGTTCCCGTTGCTATACATGGACGACCGGTGGGGCGGAGGATGGCGCGCCGCCACGCTGCTCATCCGCGAGTGCTGCATGATGAAGTTTATCAACGCGCTATCCGACAAGCCGGAGTGGTGGCTCAAGGTACAAGACGACGAGATTGCCGAAAAGTGGAAGAAAGAGGCCTTGAGCATGGACTGGACGCTGTATCTGAAGCACGCCGATTTCACTCCTGCGATGGCTGACGCCGTAAGTCATGTGCCCAAACAATTGATGCGGACGCATTGTTGACAGAGTTCAAGTGCATCAGCGAATTGAAAAAGAAGGCAGTTTTGTATGAGCAGACCGGCTTGATGCCTGTACTTGACTACTCCATCGCCGTTATCAAATCCGACGCCATCATGACACCCGATATGGCTACGTCTCTTCGGAAAGGCGTCAAACCGCTGGAAGAAGTACCTGCAGAAGACAAAGACTGGCACCCCAACAGCAATGAACAAGTTCTGGATCTTGTGCATCCTTCTCTTTGGCCATTGATGTACGGCCGCTCTAGGGTCCTCCGAGATCGCGTCATCGGCTTGGATGACGCTCTCGAGCATTGCGGCATGGGGACAATTCTACCGAAGCGGAAGCAAAAGGAGACGGAGTTGCTCATCAAAGCGGGCAGTTTCTGCGAGGAAAGCATCACCATTCTTTCAGACCTGTTCCAGTGGCTTCCCTGTGATGTCAAATCGATCCAATGACAGGAAAGGCCAAGATTGCAAGCTACATCAACAACCTGCACCCGAAGGAACACAGCGATCTGTACGCTGTAATTGAAAGATTTATCGAAAAGTCTCTGCCGGCGTGGGAAATCATCTACAACTGGGAAAAAGACTTCTCAGTCCAACGTCTTCGCACAGACGAGGCCGGGTTTGGGGATTGTCCTTGCCCTGAGCTGTGCCAGTTGGACGACATGGATTGTTCATGTGAGCCATGGAAACGTCCCGTCGGAGGGGATGAAGAGCCCAGGGACCCAGATGACGAAGAGCAGTACGACGACGAGTACAAAGACTCTGAACGGAAGAAGCGGGATGACGCTTGGTTCTTTGCGACCCATGCCCTTAAACTCCCTGACGCCGACCCTCTGGCGGAAAAGCACGTCCGCATTGACAGCTCGCATGTCAAGACGCATGGCTTCTTCAACAATAAGTCCCAGGTCCAGGTTATTGTCAAGCTCGCAAACATTCACCTCACCCCCGACAAGCCCTCGTAAGCGGGTGGGTCATGGCATACTGAGGGCCAGCTCAACGAGCACATCGTCAGCACCGCCTTGTTCTACTACGACTCTGAGAACATCACCGAGTGCACTCTCGACTTTCGCACGTCCGCCAATGGCGATGAACTCGACGAAGGTGCACTTTCGTACGAACAATATGACCACCGCAGCATTGAGCGCACATTCGCTGTCCAGCAGTACCAAAGCATATTCCAGGACATTGGTTCAGTGGTGACAAAGTCGGGACGGGCGCTGTTCTTCCCGAACTTGTTGCAGCATCACGTTTCGTCATTCAGGTTGGCAGATCCGACGAAGGAGGGGCATCGGAAAATCTTGGCGTTATTTCTAGTGGACCCCGCGATTGAGATTGTGAGTACCTCAAACGTGCCACCACAGCAGAAACATTGGTGGCTTGGGACGACGGGGTTGGACGGCGGGAAGGGAGTCTCACCAGCTGAGCTTGGCGAGTTGGTTGCCGACGAGGTGGAGTGGCCCATGGGGCTGGCAGAGGCAAAGGAGGTGAGGCTAAAGGTGATGAGGGAAAGGACTTGGCTTAAGGAGGAGGAGGAGGAGAGGTTGGAGGATGTGACGTGGAAATTTTGCGAGCATTGAAGCCACTCTGGGCTGGTGCATTGGACGGTTGCTGGAAAGCAACGAGGAGATTGAACGCTTGCGACGTTTGCGGGTGAGCAATTCATTCTCAGTTCTAGTGATTCTTGCGAAGAATTGACTCTTATTTGCACTACACATGATATCTCCAGTTTACTTTTAATATAGAAACACACAATCTCAGATCCCTTGTTGAGATGCTGTTGTTGGTAGAGCACTTGAGTGGTGTCGCATTTTCGTTGGGACTTTTGTACCCTTGTTGGTCGTGATGCTGCAGCATTCAGCTTGGCGAGCCAAGCAAATTGTTGCCTTTGGTCATGGGGCCGGGACCCCGTCCAATCGAAGAACCCAAGCGGAAGTACTTTGGTTCAATTTCACTCATCTTTCACAGAATTGCAGTGAACAACTCAAGATAAGATCACGCCATTGGCGGTTATCACACATCTCGCACACTCTTCGCGCTTAGATACCACTCTAGGCACCCGTGGCTGACCCCTGCACCGACAGGCCTTCAATCCCACAGCCTTCTGGAGCTGCGTCAATGAGCGCTCGTGATACGTCAAATTCACTCTTCCGCACCCAGAAAAGGGTCTCACTGCGTCTATCCTGGTTCTGCCCTGACATGGACTTGGTTGACGTCGCAGCCTTGTGGAGCAGCTGAACAAAAAGTTTTACGACTGCCTACATCCAGCAGGCTGTCGAAACCAACGAGCGTTTTTTTGGTGGTTGGCAGGTTACGTATCCCTCATCACTTATGAAAACTACAAGTAGTCATCATTCTCGCTGCCGCTGACAGTTATCAATGGATATGGTTGAAGCACCACTACTTACATGCCAAAATGGACTCACTAACATGGGCTAGATTCACTACCCCATTCCAGCATATCCGCACATCCATCTTCCTAATCCTGACATGGATTATAACGAGTGCATTAGCCCAGGACGACAATTATACCTCACCATGTCTCTCTGACAACTTCAAAGACCCAACAATCCAGCACCCAGGCGGCCTTTTCTCAAGCGACGTATGGCTCCGCCGCGGCCAATGCATTCGCAACACTGATACCTATGCCATCTGCCGGAGCAATCTCATCGCGGTCCTTGATGACCTGTCCGCCCTCCAACAGACCGAGTATGGCGCCTCGGCCGGCGTCTTGACGCTCCTTCCCACTGCTGGCGCTCTCTTCGGGAGCCCTACGGCAGAATTGTGGGCGCTGCTGAGAATGTCTCCGATAGCTGGCTTTCTAGCACAGTGTCTGACCTTTGGCGCAACCATGGTGCCTTCTGAGACGGAGGATTATCTAAAGGTCTCCAAAGCCCAGGGATGCACGGCGATGCTTGTCCCGCGGGCGACGGAAAAGGGAGAGGAAGACGAAGGAGCGACCTACGAACAAACTGCGAATGAGGTCCAGCAGCGTATCCGACATGCGATGGATCAGGAGCAACAGGGATCGCTGGGATACGCAGGACTCTCCGCGAAATGGTTCTTCATCGTTGGATGCCTTGTCCTGGCAGTATTTGTAGGGGCTTCGCAGGCTTCCTTGGCCGTCATCGAGCAGGGTGCAGTGTATGCCAATTGGTGCACTCTCACCTCGTGGGCTCACATTTGGTACCTCGTCGGTATGTCAACCCGGGCACCGTTGCCGAGCACTGCTAACGCATTGGAATAGTAACATTCGTTGCCATCGTGGACGGATATATCAACATTCCCTTCCACGAGCACTGGAAGGTATACATCACTCGCCAAGATGTGACGCTAAACGGAAGCGACAATGCGGCCCCCGAGGAGGGAAACTTTCTGCTCGACGGCTTCAAAGACAAAATGATTAAGGAGAGCATGAAGACTGCTGAACCAAAGTGGAACGCGGTAGACAGGCACAACTACGGCTCGTCTCGACCAAGTCGGCAGATGTTAGTTGTTATCTCCGTCTCTCAAGACGACAAACGCCCACCGTACTGGTTGTCCGGTCTCCGACTCTTCTTCCGCGCAGGTGGCCTCACTTGCTACGTATTCGCCACGTCAGTATTCGCGGCGGTGACTTTGCTGGCTATGCCAATGGCACAGATGGTTCTCATGGTGATCGTGGGATCGGGATTCTTCAGTCGTGCAGTTGTGCAGAAGATGGTGAAGACAATGTACCAGGAGAAGCCTGTGATGCATCTGATCGCCGCGGATGAGCAGACAGCTGATCGCATGTTGACTGACATCATGCAAATGAAGGGGGACACGGCAAGATCTTCGTCTTCGTACGTTTTTGAGGTTGACGGAAAGCTGTGGATCCAGCAGGTTTGCGTTGGTTTGGGACGTCTATGGAAAAGAAGGCTATTTGGGTTGCTAGCAGAAATGCCCACGGTGCAGGTTACTGGTGCAGCTGTGTGAGAGCCGATCGTGTACACTTCACCCTATGAGAACAAGGCCTACCTAGCGCTCGCTTTCGAAGTTGCATTCAATTTCGACTTCATTTAGCAGTTTTTGCTACTTTGTTTCAAACAAACTCTTTCCAGTGTTTGAACTTCTCACTGCTGTGAGTTGCTATTGTTTGACTTGAAACTCGCATTTGGCCGGATCCTCTTGTTGAGTGCTGTGGACTCTAATCTCCATGTGCCACTCTGTCAGGAAGCTTGGCTATTAACTTCATTCCATGATTGATGTTATTAACAATCTACCTGTCAATTCGGTCACCCAAAGGATGTGGTTGAAGCCTCTCGCTATATTTATATTGGACATTGCATCTGCTCTTATTGCATGCGAGACAAGGAAGTTGAAAAGGCTCGAACCTTTTTGCAGTGTTCAATCAGGCATCGATGATGACCCTGCCTTATTACCCCTGTCCAACCTGTCGCGTCGCACGCGTGGAGGATAGTTGATCCTTTTGCTTCCATGTGGATCAATTGACTCTTCCAGCTTCTGGCGAGCGGACTCCAGTCTTGCCAGCAGATTCGCCTCTTCTGTCTCGCTCCCCGTGACATCAGCCCCCGTGGTGAGAGACGATTCCATCAAACCTCTGCAACACTCACTGAGCGTCAAAGAGGCCTCTTTGATCGTCTCACGTATCCTCTTGCGTCTCTGCCACTGTTTCCGCCATGTCAAGATGCCTCCCGAGTCGAGTCCGTCCCCCATGGGAAAGTCATGCCTTGTGCCATCGGTCTGTCCTAACGTATACTCTAGTTCTGCCTGTTCCGAGTGGACTTGCATAACAAGACTCTCATAAAGGTGCTGCAAACTTGCTTGGTCGTTGGCCGTGCGCCGTTGGCCAGATAGATTCCTGAAATTGAGGGTGATAGTTTCCAGCTGGCCTAGTCGTTCTCGAACGTAAGGGAACCACCCTTCAACACCTCCGGAATCAAAACTCAGAGCAGACTTTGCGTTGGGCAACCACCGTTAACACAGGTTCGTAGGTATCTTTTACCAATTTCTTTCTTTCTCCATGGGAAGGCTTACCGGTGCGCGGGCATCATATTCAAAATCATCTTCGTTGCCGGTCATCTCTCTTGGCACGGGAGCTTTTCTCGCCCGCGTGCCGGGTTCGGTGTCGATGTCGTGGAAGCGGAAATCCAGATCTTCCGTCGCGTCGGCCATTTCATCATCTTCAGGGATCTCCATGCAGGCACGCTCCTCGTGGCGTGGCGACGGCAGTTCTGGCCGTTGGCGCTTCGCCACGGAGGCCGGATTTAGCGCGGAATTGAACGGAAACATGTTGAATAACGGCGGGAAGGACCCAATCAGAAAGTCATGAGTCGCTTGCAAGGTAACCGGAACGTTTGAGGGACGGCCGCTTCATTTGACTAACCATGATGGAATAGGGTTTCCCCCCTTTTATCGTTCATTTTGGTTGAATTGATTTATGCAGCATATTTGGCCGATTCCACGCAATGATTGGTCTGTCAGTGCAAGGAATGAGACACACTCTGCACATCTCGCCAACAAGCCAATCATTCGGAGCTTTTGGCTGCCCAAGACCCATAGTTTCCGCACGCGTTAGGATTACTGCAGGCTCGGCGAGCTCAACCGAGCCAGTATTCGTATCACCTGATATTCCCCACCTCATCGCCGAGCCCAAAAAGCTCCAGACGACTCCTTGCCGACGCCGCTCTGTTCGCAGCCTATCGCACTACAGGCGACAGCGTCCATGCTGACTGAACCAAAAGTCCAAGGGGCGGGGGACTGTGTATGAACAGCACTACTCTGTAAACTACACGTGTACTTAACGGTGTTGCGGGGGGTTCCTAGTTCACCACATGGAGGAGGAAACGGGCCGGGCCGCTTCCCCCAGGCCAGCCACTGCAGTGGGTGCCCCGAGGACTGAAGCTCACCATTCCTCGCGTCCAGAATCGATCGAGCAGGCGACCGACCAGGCCGGAGTATGGCCTGGAGTCGACCCGTCGCGTGAAGGAACAAACGTCCATCTTCTCCGGAGAGACACTGAAGTGGATTGACGTGCGATCGGGCTGTGGACCGTGCCGTGCGCCACGTTCATTGCTACCTTCTATCTTGTCAAAGATGCCCCCCGGTCGCTCCCTGCAGTATGTCACGTGCTCGAAACACCACATCCATGCTTCGAGCTCCACCATGACTCTTGTCGGAGAGTTGGTGCTCAATAGCTGGCTCAACCATGTCACTCTGCAGCATCTGTAACAATCTTCAAGTCGATGCTACAACAAACGAATCACCTGATGAGACGAATTGGCCCGGCCCTGATCGGGTCAAGACGTTTGAATTGTATGTTCCCATGCAAGAATGGCGTGAGTCGGCCGACGGAGGATGCCCAACTTGCCGCTTGGTTTGGCACGCCTTACTCTACTTCCACGGCGAATTGGCCTTGGAGCTTGCAGGGACGACCGTTGATGAGGACGAATCCGTGAATATCAGCCTCAGCGGCATCCTCGGGGAGACGTTGCTGCTGTCATTATACCCGCTCCCCAAGGAGAAGCACTTCCCAGGACTGGAGTTCTTCACGTACAGCAGTAGGTCCATCATCTGGATGTTGTCAAAATGCGATCATGTTTAACAAGTCTGTCTGAGTACAGGCCAGGCAACGTCTTGGCCGATTATCGGTCCGGCGGGAGACATTGCGCCGTCTCTTGACCTCGAGCGCTGCCTCGAGCTTTGCAAACGCTGGATTACTGCATGCGAACAGGAGCATCCTCAATGCCAGTCAGACTGCGTGCAACCCCTTCCAACACGAGTTCTGGACCTTGGACAACCTGGCCGACCTGTCAATGTACGTCTGTACGAGCCTCTTCGGAGCTCAAAGGCGTGTTACATTGCTCTCAGCTACTATTGGGGCAAAGTTCTCAATCTGACAACCACAAGTTCAAACTTCGCGCAGCGGAAAGCTGGCATCCCTTGGGACGGCCTCTCGGAATCGTTGCGGCATGCTATCCTGATACGTCGTAGTCTCGGGGTGCGCTACATGTGGATCGACGCCCTTTGCATTATCCAGGACTCGCCGTCAGACTGGGAGAAGGAGGCGGCGCGCATGGCCGATGTGTATGAGAATGCCTTCTTGACCATCGCCACCGATGCGGCTCGGGACCCAACCTGGGGCATCCTCACCCCTCGGCATCTGGAAAAGATCTCTGCGCAAGACGCTACCGCCAAACCGGACAAGCCTCGAGGGAGGCGCAACTATGATGTGCTGAGTGTACCGGTCAAAGACGACACGGGAGCGGAATGTATCATCCAAGTATGAGAGCCCTTGCTACATTCCGACATTGTCTTCCCCCGGACCTATCACGACGTTAGCTATCCGCTCCTCACGAGAGCCTGGACGCTGCAAGAACGCTTGCTCGCGCGCCCCACGCTGCACTTCACGGCCTTTGAACTAATATGGGAGTGCAAGCAGACGCTCTTCTGCGAATGCGATTGCATTGAGCGCGAGTTTCATGGACTAGATGGGCACAATGGTCCCAAAGTCTCGTATGAGAGAGCCATGGCTCGGCAACGACAAGATCGCGAGGACATGTCTAGACGAGAGGACAGCGACCGCGATCTCGACCTAGCCAACCGCCCACGGATGCTGGAAACGATCAAGACTTGGGCGTTGATCATTGGTGGGTACACCGGGCGCGACCTGACGTTCGTTACGGACAAACTACCCGCCATTGCAGGCCTGGCGCGGCGGTATGCGGCGCAAGTTCAAGGACCCAGCACCCTTCAGCCGCCCGACGCCCACCAGATTTATCTCGCCGGCCTGTGGCTAACCGACCTTCCATGGCTGCTTTGCTAGCGCGCATTCCAACGGCGCTTCGCGCAGCGCGCGGCCGAGTACTGCGCGCCGACGTGGTCGTGGGCGTCTCTTACCACGCCTGTCATCTGGGACTATAGCCTCTACGACGCAGCCGCCCAGGTGGAGGTTCTCGACGCAACGACGATCCCCCAGGGTCTGGACGGCTTTGGAAGGGTGAAGGGAGGCAGCCTCACATTGACCGGATACGTAAAGCGAGCAACACTGGACTTTGACGCCGGCACCAACACTGTCGTCGGCCTGAGCAACGGAAACGGTGACCGAATCTTCTTTGTGCCGGACCAGAATCCGCCCGACAACAACACGGGTGCCGACGGCCACGATATGTCGAGAGATCCCGTGTCCAAGTCCGCTCAGCGAAGTGTATCCTCCATGAGCCACGGCGACGCCGTCGCGTGTCTGTGGGTGCTCCACAACGTGGCGACGGGGGCCGTTTATGGACTCGTGCTTGCGGCGCCGGGGAAGACGTCCATCGAGCGCTCATTGCGCGATCATGCGGCGTCGGGGGCGGAGTTCGCTGCATTCGAGCGCATCGGCCTGATTACCAGCATGTCCCGGAAGTATCAGAAAGACGAGATATCGGCACTATCGTGGTTTTCGGGCGCGGAGAAGCAAGCCGTGACCATTCTCTAAGTGACGTGGTGGAGCAAGAAAGCTGCTCGCGAACGCTGACACGATGGCTCCGGATCCGCTCGCATGTATTCAGATCTCAAGACAGAAAGGGACTGGGTGCGGTTGAGCTTGCTCGCTGATGACACTGGCCTTAAGGAGCTTCGACCAGTGTTATCGATTGATGCAGCCTTATGTCTATTGGATATTGGATTGGACGTGTCTGGAGATCATTATTTTCCAGAGCATCTTGATTCATGCTCGGCGGATGTTCCACAGCGTTGCCCGTATGCCACGTCTGCTCACCCGTCTACGCCGCGTCTCGGATCGTCCAGCTAACCGTCATCTCCACATCGCGAGGCGATCCACGATGTTGCCCAAACTTGACTGTGCCAGTGATGGAATCTCCCAGGGCTAGCGGGACCGCTGGTGCCTGTGTTGGTGTTCGAACGACGGGGAGATGCCCAGCGCCCCAATGCGCCACTTTGCCATGCGGACCAGTCGCAACGCTAACCCCATCAACGCAGTCCTGTTCAAGATCCCAGTGGCCTTCAGCGCTCTAAGCGAGACTCGTGCCCGACGCCGTGAGGAAAAATGCATCGTACCAAATCATCCACGCATCGAGACTGTCCGCCTTAGTCTTAACATCCAGCCAAAACGGCGCGTCAAAAACCGCGTTCTCCGGCTTCATGCGATGCAAATCAAACGCCTTGAACCGATGCCCGCGCGCAGCGAGATGATTCGGCCGGGGCTTGTTGATGTAAATCTCGCGCTGCTCGGTGCCGCTGGACATGTTGGATAGGTTGAAGCTGTAGACATTACCCCAGTACCCGATTCCCCATTTGCTAAACGCGTCGGCCATGGAGTGTCTGACGTCGGCAAAGAGGCTGTTGACCTGGACCTTCTCTTCGTCGTCGGATTGGTCTACGTCCTCTTAGCCCTGGACGTAGCGCGGGTCGAGGATGTCCACCTCAGACGAGGCATCAGAGGCGACGTCGGCGGCGGCGGGCTCGGCCATGATCTTTTTGTGAAGAATTTAAAAGTGGCCTGTCTTGTATCGCAGGGATTTGGCGGACGAAACGGATCCCGGAGGTGTCGACCTGCGGCCCCGCTGGGGGAGACAATTTTCATGGGGCAAATCCTGACCGAGAACCTCCTCATGCGAGCATCATCCTGTCAAATCACGGGTTGGAAAGCTAGTGTATCAACTCCAAGTCTTCATCCTCCGCAGAGACCTCATCCACACCAGTACCACCAGACGTCTGTCAGGTTGATAGACGCCTCGAGACGACTGACCTGCGAATTCCAGTACTATACATGGCTCTTGCATCTCATGCATCTCAGGCAGGTTGGTTATGACAGGGCAACCCAAGAGGTCTTCACAAGCAAAAAAGAAATCCAAAGGACATACAACAACAGGCATTCACCGATCTTCACCGACCCGACTACTACTCTATCCCTCATTGGTTTGTCTATGGGAGAGCGGACGGGATCCCGAGTTTTCCAATTGGGTATGGTCGTATGTGGAATTGGGGTTTGCTGAATCTCACTATACATTGTATCCCCGATCTCAGCCACTGGCAGCTGGTCGCAGTGGAGACTCCCTGTAACATCCATGCCGTGCGCGCCGGCTCCCTGAACCTGTTAACGCTATCTCAAAACACTGTCAGGCCGGTTCCCCTTACATAGGATATTTATTTAGAGCGAGCGATTACTCGATAAACAGCCCTTGCGCGGCGTATCACTTCGTTTTTGATCTCGGGAAGCTTATTTGAGATCGCGTTTCGTGCCAGTAAATGCCAACCTCTGTTGACAATAGAATGTCTTCGTGGGCCGGTAACGAGACATTAAAAACAGACCGCGGTGCTGTCCCAGGCACACTAGTTTGGGAGAAGATTTAAGTGTAAGGCGGAAAAAGAAAGAGGACATATGCAGAGCGAAAAGAATGTGAAGGATCGACAATGTCTCTAGCTAAATTGACGATGAACGTCTGGAAGAGTTCATGAACATTGACCTGTCACCTGTCTGAATCCTCGAACATCTGGTCTAGCCCTCTCCGCAGACGCTTCCTATATGTCCAATCCAAAGGCATCCAATACATTGAACTGCTGGTATCCGAATCTGCACACGCTCGGTGATGTCTTTGTGATCTGCTGCTTGTTAAGTTGTTTGTGATATGGCAGTTGAGGGTTGCTCATTTGGCCCACTTCTGATCAGACATCCCTATCATCGCCATCTCATGCTTAAAATAACTACAGAAATACCGATAAAAATATGAAGCATTCGCTGAATTATTGCATACTATTGTTGTTTTATCACCTGACTATTCGGTGTTCCCTAACATACTGGCAACTTCAAACACCTACTAGGTGATGGTTGAAATCCTCACCAAATGGAAAAGTGGGGGGTGACATACATGGGGTAGGTGTTGGTTGAAGAGGTAGGGGGTAGGTGTTGGAAGAAGATCTCAGCGAATTCTGCAGTAAAAAGTGTGCATTTAACTGCAAAATATAATGTTAATTCAGGATATGAAGTGTGCATTTAACTGCAAAATATAATGTTAATTCAGGATATGAAGTGTGCTCAGTTTGGAGGTAAAACTACGACAGATTGATTTATAAGTGAATTTATTGCTGAAGCTACAGTTTTGATGTGGTGTTCGCTGCTCCACCCCCCCTGCGTTGATGCTATTAGACCGCACCGCTAATTCCACTATAGACAACTAGCCTGTGCACTCAAGAGCATTCCACTTAGGCAGGAAGTTGATAGATAGCACTCACAAGTTACTATGGTTACCTAGAGTGGGTAGTAGAAAATATTTATAGAGCAAAAAGCATAAGTCAATATATTAATAACAGGAATAGGGATAGATATCTTGATCTAAAGAGAATTATAATAACAGCATTGAAGATAGATCTATTTATAGTTGCTAAGCTGTTTCGTCTGCTTATCTGCATAGTTTGTCAGTTTGCAGTAGTTGCTGATAAGTCGGCTGCATATCTGAGAACGCATTATTTATCTATCAAACCTAAAGAAAGATATGCTATTATCTGCAAGATCAAGCAAGAGATATCAGTTTATAAGACACAGTCTGAAGTTGCAGAGCTAAAGCACCCCAGCCCACATATAGCAGCAATCCTATATCTCATGGCGCCCTAACAGTTAGGAGTCTAATCCCTAAACCAAATTTGGTTTGACAATTGGTCAGGATTGGTCGAAAAAATCTGCGCACGGTCCTGGTTTCTTATCAGAAAAGGTACAACACCAAAAAAATGGTTCGCCTATAGTAAAAACGGTCCTTGAGATACATTTCCTTCTCACAAGTGACCTTGTACGTAATCACACATTCATTTCTTAACTCGAATCACGCAATCCAGCACAGTAACCAGATTCCCACCTTAGAAACGGTTATAATACCCCTTCAGCCCAGGCATTAACAAGTCATTATGTACCTGCATAATAGCCCTAGATACATGTATCTATGTTCATGATAATTCCAATCGTATGAACTCCAGTACTCGACGTCCTGATGTCTGCGATGCACGCTTTTAGAGAGCTTCAGCTACATTATGACTACAAACTACATCTTCCATTGTTTTTTCTAGATTTTTTCCATCTATCTCATAATTGATATCGCACGAACTAGACCGACGCAGTAAGTCCAATATACTTACACAGAGATTGCCCACCTAAACTCCTCTACAGGTACTCATAGAACCTGTTAGCTACACCACAGTCCCATAATCCTTGTTCCCCTCACGTTCTCTAGGTATGTCTAACCAATAGTTGTGGTATTATTTGACCCACACTGAAACCCGCATAATCATTTTCGGTGTTGTGATCAAGTTACCGTTTTTATTGGCTAACCCACGTATGCGGTCTCCGTTCCGGATGTAAATCATCACACTAACCTAACCGTGGTCTCACCCTAGAAATCCGTGACTTTAAGCCTTGTATTGAATGGACTATCTCAAGTTCTACTGCCTTTATTTCTTCTATATAAAGTAGTACATTCCTCTGATGAAGATGTGATCCTAATTCCACATCAACCTTCACTTTTTTTATCAGTAATATCAAGCATCCCTTCCTAAATCCATACATCAACATCACCATGACAGGCACCTCAGAGGGGACGCTGAAGCGTGGCCGGGGTCGTCCGCGGAAGCATCCATTGAGGCCCGAAGATACGCCTCAGCCGAAGCGTGGACGTGGTCGGCCTCGAAAGCGTCCTCCGCTGGAGCAAACTGGTCATCATGTGAAGCTCCGACGCGGTCGGTCGCGGAAGCCTCAGGCTAGTCCTCCCACTGCGACCCCACCGTCTGGACAAAAACCACTTCCCAGAGTTTCACCAGACCCATCTTTCTCCCCCTCCCGTCACATTCGTCACCTATCCCTCGACTACATCTATCCAAAATATTCTTCTTTTTCCTCACCTGAACCCGAAACGCCTGTCGATAGTGCACGAAATGGCACCGGCACAGACTCCGGCCCTGGTTTATCGTTTTCGAAAGATATCTCCAAACCAGCCCCTGCAGGTCCCACGTCTCCTGCCGCCGGCGTAGGTCCCACTACTTCGCCATCTACTTTATCTCATCCCATCAACAAGATATCTTCGTCGACAATCCCTCACATTTACCCACCGTCCAGGGACAGCGAAGCTCTTCCTAGAGCAATGATGCAAATAAATGGTATGTGTAATGCATTCTTGCTATGTTTTTGTAACTCACATTAGAGTTCATATTAAAAATGGACTTGCTAACAGGTTAGGTAAAGCTCTTGACACTGCAGAATGCCCTTCCCTCCCTTTCCGAGAATGCGTCAAGGCCTCTCCTGAACTATTTTGCACCACTACCTCCTTTGCACAAGGCGATTGCCATTCACCTGGACCCGGGTCCTCGCAGTCGTCCGTCTCGTTCAAGTCACAGATTCCCATAACACCTGTACCTTACTCACCAGAGCTGTCATGTACGACCCCTACAGCAGGAGAAAGGGATTCGTGAGCATAGCAACCCTTCTATATGAAG